TGCATTTATTCACAGTTCAGTTTGAAATGCTGTAGTGACTTGTATTGAACCACTTAAATATTTATAATTAATGCTACTGAAAAGATGCTATTAATTTTATATCTCACATGCAGTTCACTGTAAAGCTACTTGGTGAAGGTGTTGGTTCATAAAACATGAACAGTTTTAAGAAAGAAAAAAACAGACCAGTTCTGAGAACACAAATTCCTGGTAAAGTAGTAGATGTTCAGGTTGATAAATAATATTTTCCACACTGAAGATTATGGAGGTATTGATCAGTCTTCTCATATTTTAAGCCTCGATTTCTCCTTTCCCCCCCCCTCTAACATCACCAGAAGTCATCATTTAAGGGGTCATTTCTCGAAAAAAAATTCCGGGGGGAAACCCCCCGGACCCCCCCGGGTAGGTCACTTACGGTACGTCAAGAGCCCCACCAAAAAAAAAGACCACCGGCCGCCACTGGTTTTGACATGCCTCTTTTGTGAGTAAATATATGCATTGCTTGATTTGATAGATTCAAAGGAAAAGAGGATGGATGTCGGACGGATCATATCAATTTCCCTGATTTTAATAGGTAAGTTGTGTGATGATATAACGATTACTATGAAGGTTTTTTATTAAAAAGGTGTGGAAAATATGTAGGAAACGACACAACAGGAAGTTAACGTGGAGTCCTTGCAACTCATAAAATATGTCCAAAACAAAGAAACAGTGTCTAGTTTCACTTGTTAATCACCTTTTAAAACAATCAGTTTCGCCATAGGACATTTTACTGTCTTTAAGAGGCTGTAGCAGGCTCTTGGTAGATTGTTACGGATGTGTTTAAATAATGGTGTAAGAAAAATGGTAAACTCTGGCAAGGAAGAAATTGGCTTTGTCATATTCACAGGGATCCCTTGACCTCTCAGCTCCACATATCTGAATACAAATGTATTCTAAGGGACACTATTGGCGCATTTCCACTACACGGCCTCGCTCGGCCTCGCTCGGTATGGCTAGGCCTCGTTAGGACTGGCTCACTTTATGGCGCATTTCCATTACAGTTTAGGAACTGGGGTAGTATCTATAGTAACCCAGTGTAGGCGGAGCGGTGACGTCAACTTCAATGAGAACCCCAGAAAAACAACACAGCCGTTAGCTGTTAGCACTCAGAGCTCACAGCTCCTCATATATGTTCAGAAACAAGACAAAAGTTAAACAAGTACAAACCACAGACTGCCTGTGTCATGGCGAATACAGTCGCTGCTTTATTTATGTCTGTATAGGCCGTTGTTGTGAGTGTGGACGGTCGGAGCATATACTGCGTTAGCTTAGCCAATCTCCATTTAGAAAACACGCATTTTAAAAGGTTTTTCGCCTGCCGTCTGTCTGCAGACTTGTCAAAGCATTAATTCATGATTTTTACTAACCGGTATCAGTATGTTGTTACTTCGGCCTCATTTTGAAACGTGTATTACAATTAAATCACGGTCAAATATGTCCATCTTGTTGTAGTTGTAGCCCCCTTGCCAGCGATTCTCTCTCTAGTTTAGCATACTCAGCCCGACTCAGCCTCGTTGTCTCTGGCCCTCGACCCACGATTTTATGAGGCCAGAAAAACTGTGAATTAGGCCGGCCGGTACTAGGCCAAGTGGAAACGCAACCAAAAACGGGCCGCTGACGTCACAGCCCTCTTAAACCGTGCTCCGTGCTGTAGTGGAAACGCGCCATATGAGTCTCCTATTAACAGGCTCAACATGTCAACCTAGTGCTTATCTCATGCAGTTTTGGCGAGTAATTTGTCTTTCTGCATGCAATATATTTTTTAAAAGATTGCCTACTTTAAAAATGATTATTGAGGTACATCACTAGAATAATAAGAACAATTATGTTAAATGAATGTTAACAAATTATTGAAATAATGATGTACAAATTACCCTTGCTTCACTGATCACTGTACAATAGAAATATTTTAGGTGACAAATACTAATGTTGTGTTTAGTATTGTCAAACAAGTAAAAATAGCCACACTAGAAAATAACACTCTTGCCGTCAGAGCATCTCACACAATTTTCTGCTGTGTGATTTCATTTAACTAAATTTCACAATAGTGTCCGTCAGCAGGTCTCAGCCTTTGTTGTATCAGAGATTCATGTTTGTCAAAAACTAGAGAACAAGGAGTGGTGCATAGTTTATTTGGACTCTTGTTTATAAAAACACCTCCAGGCAGACTGAGAGATACATTCCTCCTTTAGTAACAAGCAGCATCAACCATTGTCCAAGTGAATTGCCTCTGACAAAAAAGAAATATGTAATAGACAGTTCTCTTGCAAAATACTTTTTGAAATGATTTACAAATATCTTCACTAAATAAAAAATAAAAAACGGTCATCAAAGTATGTTATATCGGTTAATAAAAACTAAGAAAGGCTGTAAATAACACCAAATACACTATATATTCAAAGAATGTAACTTTTACATGGAGTCTTTTAGAGCTTCTCAGTTAGTAATGTTTACAATTTTAACTGCTCACTAGAAGTAAAGTGTGCTCTTTGCTTAACACAGGGGTCGGCAACCCGCGGCTCTCGAGCCGCATGCGGCTCTTTAAGCCCTCTACTCTGGCTCCCTTGAGCTTAGACAAAAATAAGAAGGAAATAAAATGAAAATATTTGAAGGACTATTTATATTTTGTTGCACGGTTGAAAATGTTTCGTATCTTGTATTTTGAGGTGATACTGTGACACATAATTTTTTTTTAAAAACGGTTTTAATTAAGTCAACTAAAATATGCGTCATATCCTGCTACGGTCCCGCGCCAGCGCCTTTTCTTGCAGGTGAATAACCTGACCCCCGGCTCGATGAGCGAACTATGGATAGATCAAAGAAAATAAAAGTATCGGAGGAACACAGAGGGTTTAATTCTGCGTGGACAGAGTTATATGCTTTCACAGCAAACAATGCTGGCTTACCGGTATATTTGATATGTTGAGAGAAGTTGTCAAAGGTGCTGCAGCCTTTACGTATTGGAGGAAAAACACGGAAGAGGAAGACAGCTGATGATCTTCAGTCATAATTCAATCAGTTAACTCTTTTTAGGGTGCAGCTATATGTTTTATTTATTTCATAGTGGACCCATTTTAATTATATTCATTTTCTTCAAATGTGCAAAGGACTCCCCAAGTGCTGTGTTGATTTATTTTCAAGTAGGCCTTTATATATTTTTTTAGGGGTGTCAGTCGATTAAAATATTTAATCGCGATTAATCGCATGATTGTCCATAGTTAATCGCGATTAATCGCAAATTAATCGCACATTTTTTATCTGTTCTAAATGTACCTTAGAGGGATATCTTTCAAGTTTGTAATACTCTTATCAACATATGAGTGGACAAATATGCTTTATATGTTTGTTTATTATCATTTGAACAATGACAATATTCTCATGAATATTAAACACAACAACCTCTGAACATTACAAATATTCACCTCAATTCAACCTAGAACCTCTCTCATACAATAATACTGTGTGTGTGTGTGTGTGTGTGTGTGTGTGTGTGTGTGTGTGTGTGTGGTGTGTGTGTGTGTGTGTGTGTGTGTGTGTGTGTGTGTGTGTGTGTGTGTGTGTGTGTTGTGTGTGTGTGTGTGTGTGTGTGTGTGTGTGGAGACACTGTGATGGATCGTTGGAGCTATGTGCAGCTCAAGGCATATATGCTCGAATGGGAGCTGCCTGGACGCTGCAATCATGTTGCGCGCACTATCCGTGCTGAGTGTGCTGACTTTTCGTACAATGTCCCACTGTCTGGCTACCTGCATAAAGTCAAGTGCTCGGCGCAGTTGTCGGCGAAATGTCATTGAAACAGCTCCTTATATCTGTTAGCGCAGCTAGCTAGCACCAGATGCTAACAACAACAACACGTAAGGTGTGCCTCGCTCGCGCGAGTCGCGCCACACATACACACTCCTTCCCGGTCCTCCCGATGGCCAGTCCGGGCCTGCCAGTGAGCGTGGAAGTGTGGTCTGCCACAAGCGGGTGGCAGGAGCGGGGCTGTCAGCATCAGCTTGTCGATGGTATTTTACACTCGATGCGCTCTGAAACTACGGCGGCCGAGGACAAAAAATACACATGCGTTAATCGCGTTAAAATAATTAGTGGCGTTAATTTTTTTTGCGTTAACGCGTTATTAACGCGTTAACGCGTTAACTTGACAGCCCTAATTTTTTTTATTCTCCTTATAAGAGTTATTTGTTTATTATTAGAGGTAAACATTTTTCTGTAATGTAATAAATAATAAATGCAAAAAAACTGTAATTTTTGTCTATGATATAACAATAAATACAACTTTATAAGCTATCAAGCTATCAAATATGTTTTGCGGCTCCAGAAAAAAAAAATTGGTGGAAAAGGGGGCAAAATGGCTCTTTTGTTTAAAAAGGTTGCAGACCCCTGGCTTAACACAACTCAAGTACATGTATGTTGAAGGTTGGGTTAATAATTACTGTATTGTCTGAAAATTGAGGTCCCTAATCAGGATACACAAATGGTTTTACCAAGAGTTCAAAAGAGGCTTAAACGAGGGAACATTTTATTAGAGATTAATAAATAGAGAAATGTGGCACTCAGTTCTGAGCTTTACATTAAAGTAATGGTTAGGTTCCAAACTTTCAAATAATGTGTGCCTTAGAATGTTGAGCTGATATTTCCCCTTAAGATATCTATTGGTCTCTAACCATTGATATTTTGTAACAGTTGCATCAACAACTGCTACAACTGCTGTGCCTACAACTGCTGCACCTACAACTGCTTCACCTACAACTGCTGCGCCTACAACTGCTGCTGCTACAACAGCTGCAGCTACTACTGTTGCCCCAACAACTGCTGCACCTACAACTGCTGTGCATACAACTGCATCACCTACAACTGCTGCACCTACAACTGAAGCCCCTACAACTGCAGCACCTACAACTGCTTGGCCTACCACTGCTGTTCCAACAACTGCAGCACCTACAACTGCAGCACCTACAATGGCTGCACCCACGACTGTTGCCCCGACAACTGCAGCACCTACAACTGCTGAGTCTGCAACTGCTGCACCAACCACTGCAGTCCCTACCACTGCTGCTCCAACAACTGCTGCCCCGACAGCCGTTTCACATACAACTGCTGCATCTACGACTGCTGCCCCAACAACTGCAGAACCTACAACTTCTGCCCCAACAACTGCCTCCCGTACGACTACTGCTCCAACAACCTCAGCACTTACAACTGCAGCACCTACAACTAATGCGGCTACATCTGATGCCCCGACAACTGCTTCGCCAATGACTTCTGCACCTACAACTATCAAGGCTACAACTGATGCACTTACCACTGCTCCTGAAACTACTGCAGCGCCTACCACTGCTTCTCCTACAACTGCAGCACCTACAACTGCTGTGGCTAAAACTTCAGCACCTACAACCTATTGCCCTGACAACAACAGAACATACAACTGTTGCCCCTGACAAAAGCAGCACCTACAACTGCAGAGGCTACAACTGCTGTGGCTACAACCGCTGCTGCTACTACTGTTGCTCCTACAACTGCTGCTCCAACAACTGCTGCACCTACAACTGCTGTGCCTACAACTGCATCGCATACAACTGCTGCACCCACGACTGCTGCAATTACCACTGCATCGCGTACAACTGCTGCAACTACCAATGCTGCTCCAAGAACTGCAGCGCCTACCACTGCTTCTCCTACAACTGCAGCACCTACAACTGCTGTGGCTACAACTACAGCACCTACAACTGATGTGGCTAGATCAGCTGCTCCGACAACTGTTTCGGCTAAGACTGCTGCCCCTACAACAATAGCACCAACAACTGCTGCTCCAACGACTGCTTCGCCTACAACGGTTGCTCCAACGACTAATGCACTTACAACTGCTGTGCCTACAACTGCTTTGCCAACGTCCGCTGCCCCAACAACTGCTTCACCTACGACTGCTGCACCTAAAACTGCTGACCCTACAACAGCAGCACCCACAACTGCGGCACCTACAACTGCTGCTCCAATGACTGCTACACCTAAGACTGCAGAAGCTACAACAGCAGCACCTACAACTGGTGCGCCTACAACTGCATCTCCTATGACTGCTGGACCTACAACTGATGCCCCTACAACTGCAGCATCTACAACGGCTGCACCTACAACTGTTGCCCTGACAACTGCTTCCCCAACAACTGCTGCTGCTACAACCGCTGCAGCTCCTACTGACGCCCCAACAACTGCTGCACCTACAACTGCTGCCCCTACAACAATAGCACCCACAACTGCTGTACCTACGACTGTTGCCCCAACAACTGCAGCACCTACAACTGCTGAGCCTACAACTGCTGAGCCTACAACTGCTGCACCTACAACTACTGCTGCTACAACCGTTCTAGCTACTACTGACGCCCCAACAACTGCTGCACCTACAACTGCTGTGCCTACAACTGCATCACCTACAACTTCTGCGGCTACGACCGCTGCAGCTACTACTGTTGCTCCGACAACTGCTGCTCCAACGACTGCTGCACCTACAACTGCAGAAGCTACAACTGCAGCACCTACAACTGCTGTGGCTAAAACTTCAGCACCTACAACTATTGCCCTGACAACAACAGAACATACAACTGTTGCCCTGACAAAAGCAGCACCTACAACTGCAGAGGCTACAACTGCTGTGGCTACAACCGCTGCTGCTACTACTGTTGCTCCTACAACTGCTGCTCCAACAACTGCTGCACCTACAACTGCTGTGCCTACAACTGCATCGCATACAACTGCTGCACCCACGACTGCTGCAATTACCACTGCATCGCGTACAACTGCTGCAACTACCAATGCTGCTCCAACAACTGCAGCGCCTACCACTGCTTCTCCTACAACTGCAGCACCTACAACTGCTGTGGCTACAACTACAGCACCTACAACTGATGTGGCTACATCAGCTGCCCCGACAACTGTTTCGGCTAAGACTGCTGCCCCTACAACAATAGCACCAACAACTGCTGCTCCAACGACTGCTTCGCCTACAACGGTTGCTCCAACGACTAATGCACTTACAACTGCTGTGCCTACAACTGCTTTGCCAACGCCCGCTGCCCCAACAACTGCTTCACCTACGACTGCTGCACCTAAAACTGCTGACCCTACAACAGCAGCATCCACAACTGCAGCACCTACAACTGCTGCTCCAATGACTGCTACACCTAAGACTGCAGAAGCTACAACAGCAGCACCTACAAACTGGTGCGGCCTACAACTGCATCTCCTATGACTGCTGCACCTGCAACTGATGCCCCTAAAACTGCAGCAATCTACAATGGCTGCACCTACGACTGTTGCCCTGGCAACTGCTTCCCCAACAACTGCTGACTACAACCGCTGCAGCTACTCTGACGCCCCAACAACTGCTGTACCTACAACTGCTGCCCTACGACAATAGCACCCACAACTGCTGTACTACGACTGTTGCCCCAACAACTGCAGCACCTACAACTGCTGAGCCTACAACTGCATCACCTACAACTGCTGCACCTACAACTGCTGCTCCAACGACTGCTTCGCCTACAACTGTTGCTCCAATGACTAATGCACTTACAACTGCTTCGCCTACAACTGCTTTTTCTACGACCGCTGCCCAAACAACTGCTTCACCTACGACTGCTGCACCTAAAACTGCTGAAGCTACAACAGCAGCACCTACAACTGATGCGCCAAACAACTGCATCTCCTACGACTGCTGCACCTACTACTGATGCCCCTACAACTGCTGCACCCTACAACTGCTGCACCTACGACTGCTGCACCTACTACTGATGCCCCTACAACTGCGCACCTTACACTGCTGCACCTACAACTGCTGCACCTACAACTGCAGCCCCTACAACTACTGCCCCCTATGATTTCTGCACATACAACAGCTGCCCCTACAACTGCAGCACCTACTCTACTTGCTTCACCCACAACTGCTGCACCCACAACTTCAGCACCCACAACTGCTGCCCCTACAACTGCAGCACCTACGACTGCTGCACTGACAACTGCTGCACCTACAACTGCAGCACCTACAACTGCTTCACCTACAACTGCAACACCTACGACTGCTGCCCCTACAACTGCAGCACCTACAACTGCTTCACCTACAACTGCAGCACCTAGAACTGATTCACCTACAACTGCAGCACCCACAACTGCTGCACTTACAACTGCAGCACCTACGACTGCTGCTGCTCCAACGTACGTCATCACAGCAGCCATGGAGGGAGAACCATTTATTGATGCTTATAATGACAACACAAGCCCAGAATACAAAGAATTAGAAACACGACTTCTTCACACGGTGAATGTTTTTTTGTTATATCACCTGGATTTGAGTATCTCTGAATTTTTATTTTAAGCATATTGTGACAAAAGTTACTAAAAGTCTTTCAATGTTGCTTTTTTTTTGCAGTGTTCTAAGATATACAAAGCCAAATTTGGAAACAAATTTTCCCACTGCAAGGTGAAAAAGCTCAGGTAAAAAAGGTTTCCGGATTTGGGTCTCACAAAGACAAATTCTTTAGTGTTGATAGTGACACATGTAAATCAGACGACACAAGACAGAGTCTTTCATATCATAATTGTTCTCTTTTTTCATTTGATGTTATAAACAGCGCTTTATCAGTAATAAGGGCGCCCGGAACTGAGCAGAAATGGGAGTTGTGTTCAAGAGCACTACTCCTCTTGCAGATCTCCCACAGAATAATGAAGTGGTTCAAACCTTAGTAGAAGCTGTAAATAATACCAACAGTACCTTCGACGTGAGCATAAGTCCTGATTCAGTCAAAGTTGAATGTAAGTAAACACAACACAATGTTTCTCTCCAATAAGTTTCTAAACCATTTTGAATAACATTTGCTGCGCATGCTTGGTTTATAAATAATTTACTAACAAAAGTATGTCGCTAAGGAAAAAATGTAGGTAAAGACAAAATTAATGAACACTACTTTAATGATTTTCAGTTGACAGTTGTGTATTGTTTAATGTCATATCTTGTAAATAAATTGTTATTTGTTGCAAGAATACTTTTTCCTAAGAAACTTCAGAACAAATATATTTTTGTAAGCCCTTCATTATTGATATTTTTCTGTAAAACTGGCACCAGGGTTTTACCTAAAACAAATTAAACATAAATCCTCTTGGTTTGGGCACTGATACATATTAACATAATATTTATATGTCTGTTTTTACAGCAGGTCCAGTCCCAGCTATAACTACAGCACCTACAACTGCTAAACCTAAAACGGCAGCACCAACAACTGCTAAACCTAAAACTGCAGCACCTACAACTGCTAAACCTAAAACTGCAGCACCTACAACGGCTCGACTTGCGACTACAGCACATACTACTATAGCCCTTATAACAAAAAGGGTGACTTTCAGATCTGTTCTAGACACATTTACGAGTGACTTGCTGAATCCATCTTCTGCTGTTTACAAAGGTCGGGCTACAATGATTAAGAATCAGGTAACTTTTCTTATTGCATTATGTTATCAGAGAGCTACTGTAACGCACCCACTCAAAATATGAGAAACCTACTCCAGTTTCCATACTTCGATAAGGAATTATTAAATTGATGAAAGACCAATAAAGATCAAGTCATATAAATGAGTAAAGCTTTAAATTCCAAGGCAATTGTTTATGTGAAAAAAATGTTTATTTTGTTTTGTGTTTCTACAGCTTACACCTGTTTTCCAAAAGGCATTCCCTTCATCCTTCGAATCACTAGATGTTGTTTCATTCAGGTAATCTTTTAAGACTATTAAAGTTTTATAATAAAGAGTAGGATCCTAAATCTGATATTTCAAACAATATAATATTTTCTCTCTCTGCAGTAACGGATCAATCATCAACGTCATTGACGTTTCATTTGTAAGCATATCTGCTCCTAATAGCACTCAGATTGCGAACACTTTGATCAACGCAGCTTCAACAGTCGTTGGATTCGACATTGAAGGCAGCTCCATTAGCGTAAATGGCATATGTAAGTAAATACTGAGTGCTACTTAATAAAACAAAAAGAAAATTCTAATTTTTGTTGATTTAATGTTTTGTTTCTTTTGGTTCTCATTTACAGCTTCAAGTGGAGTAAGACACAAGATCAGTCTTGTCACCGCATCCTGCCTCTTTCTGTTGTCATGGATACTATCAAACCAGCAATAGCATTAGGGCTGTTTTTACTATTTGAATTGTAATCACAACATGACTTCCATCACTATTATGAAAAAGGAATTTGTTTCTCGTTAAAAAAAAACTGAGACATGATAATGTAGACATGATAAAAAATATAACTTTAATCACTTAGTCCATTAATTAATCACAATAATAATTAGCCTATTATGAATTATGTAAATCATTAACTAACACTAAAGACACTATATCTTCAAATCATTGATGAATTTAACTTTAACATGTACACTTTAAGAGCTTCTTGGTGAGTAAAGTTAACAATCTTAACTAGTTACTAGAATTTGAATGTGCAAAGGTGTGCTCTTTGCTCCAAGCACATGTATGCTGTAGGTTGGGTTACTAATTACTGTACAGTATAGAATATCTTGTGTAATTAGCCATTTACTGTAATATTATTGTGTATTTATATCATTATACATATGTGTGTCCTGAGAGCTTTCCTTTATTTTTGTCAATCTATTTTGCTGTCTTCCTAATGATCTGATAACAATGATAAAATAAAATAAAACTATTTATAATAAACTATTTATGTCATCCTTTATGATAGTGTATCATTGTCCTAAGTGGGTGGTAAATCATACTATGGGGAATTCCAGCGCGATTATTTATTTTCCAATGAGGCATTAGAGATGAACAAACTTTCAAACCCTGTAACATAATTTCCTGAATCGTAGTTTTAAACCAGCATCATACAGGAGCCAGTGTGAATCGTAATCAATAATTGTTTAGCTGATCTGATCTCTGGATGATACTTTACAGAATATAATTGGGCGTGGGCTGTTTGTCAAACAAAATAAGCATTTGAAGATGAAACCTTGGGCTCTGGGAACTTGTGATGAATGTTTTGTTTTTCAGAAATTTTATAAACCTTTTGACAAAAGTAAGGTAATAAATAATCAATAATAATTCATAGCAAATGGTAGATGCAGCCCTACTGAACAATATTCTGAATATTAAACCCCAAAGAAAAGTAAAGATCTTATCAATGAGACACTGTTAGACCTCCAACTGCTTTCCCTCCAGTCTGCTGACCTGATGATGATGCTTTCTGCAGGTAATACTAACATATGTTTGTATATGAAGGACTCCAGAGACTGCTTTGGATATTGTTACTATGCAAGGACAAGTACTCGAAGTGGTTACCTGTTATAAATACCTTGGTATCTGGCTTGATGATTGTCTTACTTTTAAACTTCAGGTCATTAATCTGCTTAAAAAGCTGAGGGTTAGACTAGGTTTCTTTTTTAGAAACAAGTCCTGTTTCTCTTTTGAAGCCAGGAAAAGGCTAGTCACTGTGACCTTTTTACCTGTGCTGGACTATGGTGATTTGATATATATGAATGCACCTGCCCATTGACTGGAAAGGTTAGATGCCGCCTATCACAGTGCTCTGAGATTTGTTACTAACTGTAAAGCACTTACTCATCACTGTACCCTGTATGCCAAGGCAGGTCTGCCTTCACTTACTGTACGGAGGCTCAGTCATTGGTACATATTCATCTATAAAGCCATGCTGGGTAAACTACCGACTTATATATGCTCTTTGATCTCACAGAGAGTGGCAAGTAGCTATTGCCTGAGATCCCAGGATGTGTTTTTATTACATGTGCCAAGTGCTCGGACTGTTTTAGGTACTAAAGCTTTTATGTGCGCTGCTCCTCTAGCTTGGAACACTATGCAAAACAAATTGAAACTGAGCATTTTGGTTCCTTTGCATCATTTTAAAGCACGGCTGGATGAAATGTTATTAGATACCTGTCATTGTGAATAGGTTGCTAATTTATACCCCTGTAATTATATTGTGATGTCCTTTTTGTTTTCTGTTGTTTTTATGTGTAACCAATGTACTGCAGGTCTCCCTTGAAAAAGAGATCGTTGATCTCAATGGGATTTTTTACCTGGTTAAATAAAGGCTACAAACACTAACCTTCTCCGATTAACCCTTTTACGGTATTTCAATAATACTTTCCATAAAACACTCACACTCATAATAAGAAAAACTATATTGTTACCAAAGGAGGGGGAATTTGATTTGGTAATTTGGTTGTTGCTCCATTTAAGAATATTATACAATTAAATCAAAATGAATTCCAAAAAGATATACTGATGTTAAAGTAAAATGTTTACATTGTACTTCAACACCTAACCCTAACCCTAAAATACAACGTCAATACATTTGAAAAAAGGGTATTTATACGAGGGATTTGTCTAAACCAGGCGTGCGCCCTCATACCAGAATGACTATTTTCTTCTTAACATTTTAGAGTGATGCCAGAAAAACAATATTTCTGTTCGTCAAAAAAAAAAGTATAATTACTCCAAAATATGAAAATCGTGTCAAATAGAACGTTTGACAGCATTGACAGCTTTGCTTTTACGGAGCTCTGAATACTATATACTCATACTATCTTTTTCTAGAAAAACCCCTGAATACATTTCAATAAGTAATGATATGAATGCTAAACAACTGATTGGTGCTAAAAAAATATACAGAGTAGAAAGTGCCAAAGTGATGACTGTTGTTTTTGTACTGTTGTGCCTTTATTTATGCTTTTTAATGTGTGGATATATATGTGTCGATGTTGATTATGTATGTGTATATACATATTATTATAAATATTTGTATATATATATTTGCATTTTTGTTTTTCTTGTGATTGTGGGAAACAGTATTTCGATCCCTCTGTCTGTACAAACAAACTGAAAGACAATAAAGTTGACTTTAACTTGAAGTATTGCACAGTTTAATTATTAATGCAAACTATTGCACAGTTATACATTACAGTATAACTGAAGCCAACATTTAAGAAATCCAGTCAATTTATTTGGTCAAAAAAAAACATTATTAAATATGCTGCATATTTGTCACTCCACAAATTAAAGTAAATATAAATCTTAACTTTGACGAATTATCTAAATACATTTTGCAAAACATGTTAAATGTTAACAAATGTTCTTACAGACTACTGCATGCCTTTGCAAGGGCGCAAACAAGAGGATAGAGGGTGATAAAAGTGTCCAGCCATCTCCACGTAGCTCACTAACTAAATAATATTTTTGTTTAACTGACACTTAACTCACACAAACGCTTTAAACAAGAGTAACCATTAGCTGCAGGTATAATGGAAACAAGGAATAGTGTGTCTCAATATGGGTGTGTGCATGCATATCAGTCGCAGCACAGACAGATCAAGTAGTGATTCATTAAAATGAGGCTATAGACAAAAGTTAACATCTTATGCAATCGTAATAAAACATTAGATACATTTAAGTTGTGCTTTGATTTAGCACAAAGTAGTTTGGGGACCTTCTTCTTATTGGGTTGTGTCCCCAACATTTATACTATATGTACTACTTTGTCTTTAGTATAATGGTTGCACACCTTTGTACAGTTAATGTTATGTTCCAAATTTGCTGAATCCTTGTTATTAACCAGATGATTACTGACTTAAGTCTAAAATATAAAATCTTACAATGCTGTGACTCACAGTTATTTAAAACAAATTTAATAAAAGGACTTCATTTATAAATGTGGATGAAAAATTATCTGCATGATCTGTTCTTTTGTTTATTATTTAATTGTTATTTCACCAGCAGATTCCCATTTAGACTAATAATCTCTTTAACAAGGGAGAGCTGGACAAGACATGCTGTAGCACATGCGAACACATTGCCACAGATGAAATCGCACAAAAAGAGACTTGTATTTAAATGAACTATAAATCGTACATAAGGAAAACGTTTTTTTTTTGTCAGTAAAATTCAAATCATTGTGTTTCTTAAGTCTTTATGCAAATATCCCATGTTTAGGGTGACTCGTTCACAAATTTGGTTTAAAATAATGATTGTCCAATGATCAACAACACTGTGTGATTGACAGGTGATCTCTGTACAATACAACCTACAAAAATAACCTGCTCCACTTCTTGTGTAGAAATGACATTCAAACGAATGTGCGTGACATTATATGACTGGCTTTGCTAATGATATGAGGTATGAAATCCTTTAGAAATGACTCAACCGTGTTATGACTAACAAATAAATATAGATTTCAAGTAAAGTGCTAATTGAGCAGGAAGAAATGCAAAAAACAAAAGCAATTGCCTAATCAAACAAAGAAAAACACTAAATAGTATTTATATTTATAAAAATGTGATGCCGCATGAAATCACTGCATTTAATAAACAGTGAAAATCAACCAGTATTTTTTCTCCAACCTCAATCTCAATGTAAAATACATAATTGTTCAAGTTTATACTTGCAGTATATTGTTCTTAGTAAGACAAATACATTTCAAAAATATAAAGACCAGAAGAAAAAGACAACATGTTTTTTTAGTGTATCTTTTTCCGATTCTTTCTATCAAGATAAATATACAATCTTTATGGACATACTTATTTAAATGAACCTGATCTGGATAAGCAGGATGAAATGGATGGATTAACAAATTACAATTATGAATATGTTCCTGTTTATTTAAGCTTTTGGTTGAATTTACAATTATCGCCCAATGTATGTCAACAAGCTTCGTTGCTACTGGGACTAAAAATCATAACAGTGTTTGCTTTAGATCTGATGGTGCCGACAGAAATAGAAGGACTAAGGAATCTGACCCTAACCTTCTGTAACACTGGTGGAACCTCCTTCAACATTCACATGATGGATTGCCAAAGTAACCTGTTCCTCAGACAAAAGGAGAGGAAATAATTTGAATATGAGTCATCAAACTGACAGGTTGACGTCTGACATTCTCTATCCAGATATTTGGTTGAGTTTGTTGCTGAGGTGTAGCAACATATTTAAAAAATGTATGACCTTTGAGCCACGTCATAAGCCTTTATTTCATTCCAATATAAAGGCCTTGGTAGAGATGAGGACTGTCATATAAGAGGAGAGGTTTGCAATCTCCCAGACTTGAAAAGGACTATATCAAAAAGACACTGAAATAGTTTGGTACATTGAATTCAGATAGAAAAAGCGATTTTATAACTTTTCATCTTTTATCTCTTAATGATGGGTAAGTACATTTTTTGGTAAATTTGCAGGGTTTCGTCTGAAATTGTTTTTGTGTGTGAGTGTCTGTGTGTGTTTGTGTGTCTGTGTGTGTGTGGCAGTCTTTTCACATATTAAATATGTGTTTTCCATTTCACTAAGTACAATATAACATTTCATTTTGCGGCGTGTAGAAAAATGCACTGTTTCAGATAAAACACATTGTTATTCTATTATAAACATGTTTTTTTTAAACATAGGTATACATTATTTCTTTATTTAAAGTGACCAATGTTTGTGTCAAGTATTTTGTTAGTAAACCACATTAATACAATTGTTGTACAGTATGCTGAAACACAGATGACCTTTACAGAAGAAAAAGTTGCATTTTATCAAAGTTGTTTCAATATATGGGATTCAGAACATCAAATCAAATCAAATCAAGTTTTATTTATAAAGCACATTTAAAAGCGATTTTTGGTCGAGCCAAAGTGCTGTACATGTAATAAAAACACATTACTACAGAACATGAATTATAATGAGGTGGGGACATATTGTTATACATTTGTTGGTATCAAACTGTTTTACATTGGATGTGTTAGGTACCTATAGCTTTAAAAAAATACAATTACTGCAACACTGAATACTATCATTTGAAGACTTTGTACTACTAAATGATTAATAGTTCTAAAACTGGTGTAAAAAAGGCTTTACCCTGCCAATTTTGTGAGAAAATATCTGTTTTGCTTGATTTTATAGATTCAAAGGAAAAGAGGATGGATGTCGGACGGATCGTATCAATTTCCCTGATTTTAATAGGTAAGCTTTATGATGATAAACCGATTGCTATGAATGTTTTTTTATATAAAAAGAGTGGATAAGGTGTAGGAAACGACACAACATAAAGTTAAGGTGAAGTTCTAGCAACTGATAAAATATGTCACAAACAAAGAAACAGAGTGTAGTCTCATTTCTTACTCACTTTGAACCCTTTACCTTCACCTTGTTTCACCATGGGAAATGTTAGTGTCTTTAAGAGGCTATAGCGGGCTCTTGGTAGATTGCTAGGGTTGTGGTTAAATAACGTTGAATAAAAAGGGTAAACTTTGGCAACGAAGAAAATGGCTTTGTCATATTCACAGGGGTCCCTTGATCTCTCAGCTCCAAATATCGAAATAAAAATGGATTCTAAGAGACACTATGAGTATTATCTTACAAGGCATGTCAACCTAGTGCTTATCTCATGCCGTTTTGGCGAGTAATTCGTTTTTTTGCATGCAATATACATTTTGAGAGATTGCCTATTTAAAAATTGATTTAGTTGAAAATGTCTGAACATTGAGGTCCCTAATCAGTATACATTAAATGGTATTTACTAAGAAGCATAAAGTGTAAAGCGTTTGAAAAGAAGCTTAACCGAAGGAACATTTTACAAATGTGGCACTCAGTTCTGAGATTTACATTAAAGTAATGGTTAGGTTCCTAACTCTCAGATAATGTGTCCCAACTCCATGAGCCATAGAATATTGACCCTAAAGATATTTGTCCAGTTTTTTTTACAGTTGCGTCATCTTCAACAACTGCTGCCCCCACAACTCCTGCACCAACGACTGCTTCACCTACAACTGCATCACCTACGACAGCAGCACCTACTACTGTTGCAACAACAACAGCAGCACCTACAACTACTGCTGCTCTGACAACGGTGCAACCTACAACTACTGCTGCACCTACAACTGCAGCCCCTAACACCTACTGCTGCTCCGACAACAGTGCAACCTACAACAACTGCATCACCTACGACAGCAGCACCTACTACTGTTGCAACAACAACAGCAGCGCCTACAACTACTGCTGCTCCGACAACGGTGCAACCTACAACTACTGCTTCACCTACGACAGCAAGCAACTACGACTGTTGCAACAACAACAGCAGTACCTACAACTACTGCTGCTCCGACAACGGTGCAATCTACAACTACTGTTGCACCTACGACAGAATCACCTACTACTGTTGCAACAACAACAGTAGCACCTACAAACTACTGCTGCTCCGACAACGGTGCAACCTACAACTACTGCTGCACCAACAACTGCAGTTCCTTCTACTGTTGCAATAACAACAGCAGCACCTACAACTACTGCTGCAACTACTGCTGCACCTACGACACCAGCACCTACGACAGCAGCACCCTACTACTATTGCAACAACAACATTAGCACCTACAACTACTGCTTCACCTACGACAGCATCACCTACTACTGTTGCAACAACAACAGCAGCACCTACAAGTACTGCTGCTCCGACAACAGTGCAACCTACAACAACTGCCGCAACTACAACTGCAGCCCCTACTACTGTTGCAACAACAGCAGCACCTACAACTACTGCTGCTCCGACAACGGTGCAACCTACAAACTACTGCTGCACTTACAACTGCAGCCCCTTCTACTGTTGCAACAACAACAGCAGCAATTACAACTACTGCTGCTCCGACAATGGTGCAACCTACAACTACTGCTTCACCTACGACAACTGCACCTACAACAGCAGCACCTACTACTATTGCAACAACAACAGCAGCACCTACATCTACTGCTGCTCCGACAACGTTGCAAACCTAAAACTACTGCTGCACCTACAACTGCAGCCCCTACTACTGTTGCAACAACAACAGCAGCACCTACAACTACTGCTGCACCTTCGACAGCAGCACCTACTACTGTTGCAACAACAACAGCAGCACCTACGACTACTGATGCTCCGACAACGGTGCAACCTACAACTACTGCTGCAACCTACAACTGCAGCCCCTACTACTGTTGCAACAACAACAGCAGCACCTACAACTACTGCTGCTCCGACAACGGTGCAACCTACAACTACTGCTGCACCTACGACAGCATCACCTACTACTGTTGCAACAACCACAGCAGCACCTACAAGTACTACTTCTCCGACAACGGTGCAACCTACAACTACTGCTGCACCTACAACTGCTGCCCCTACTACTGTTGCAACAACAGCAGCACCTACAACTACTGCTGCTCCAACAACGGTGCCACCTACAACTACTGCTGCACCTACAACTGCAGCACCTACTACTATTGCAACAACAACAGCAGCACCTACAACTACTGCTGCTCCAACAACGGTGCCACCTACAACTACTGCTGCACCTACGACAGCTGCACCTACTACTGTTGCAACAACAACAGCAGCAACTACAACTACTGCTGCTCCAACAACGGTGCCACCTACAACTACTGCTGCACCTACAACAGCAGCAACTACTACTGTTGCAACAACAACAGCAGCACCTACAACTACTGCTGCTCCGACAACGGTGCAACCTACAACTAACTACTGCTGCACCTACGACAGCATCACCTACTACTGTTGCAACAACCCACAGCAGCACCTACAAGTACTACTTCTCCGACAACGGTGCAACCTACAACTACTGCTGCACCTACAACTGCTGCCCCTACTACTGTTGCAACAGCAGCACCTACAACTACTGCTGCTCCAACAACGGTGCCACCTACAACTACTGCTGCACCTACAACAGCAGCACCTACTACTGTTGCAACAACAACAGCAGCACCTACAACTACTGCTGCTCCAACAACGGTGCCACCTACAACTACTGCTGCACCTACGACAGCAGCACCTACTACTGTTGCAACAACAACAGCAGCAACTACAAACTACTGCTGCTCCAACAACGGTGCCAACCTGCAACTACTTGCTGCACCTACAACAGCAGCAAGTACTACTGTTGCAACAACCACAGCAGCACCTACAAGTACTGCTTCTCCGACAACAGTGCAACCTACAACTACTGCCGCACCTACAACTGCAGCCCCTACTACTGTTGCAACAACAACAGCAGCAACTACAACTACTGCTGCTCCAACAACGGTGCCACCTACAACTACTGCTGCACCTACGACAGCAGCACCTACTACTGTTGCAACAACAACAGCAGCAACTACAACTACTGCTGCTCCAACAACGGTGCCACCTACAACTACTGCCGCACCTACAACTGCAGCCCCTACTACTGTTGCAACATCAACAGCAGCACCTACAACTACTGCTGCTCCAACACGGTGCCACCAGCAACTACTGCTGCACCTACGACAGCAGCACCTACTACTGTTGCAACAACAACAGCAGCAACTACAACTACTGCTGCTCCAACAACGGTGCCACCTACAACTACTGGTGCACCTACAACACAGCAACTACTACTGTTGCAACAACAACAGCAGCACCTACAAACTACTGCTGCTCCGACAACGGTGCAACCTACAACTACTGCTGCACCTACGACAGCATCACTACTACTGTTGCAACAACAACAGCAGCACCTACAACTACTGCTGCTCCAACAACGGTGCAACCTACAACTACTGCGGCACCTACGACAGCAGCACCTACTACTGTTGCAACAACAACAGCAGCACCTACAAACCTACTGCTGCTTACCGACAACGGTGCAACCTACAACTACTGGCATGCACCTACGACAGCATCACCTACTACTGTTGCACACAACCACAGGAGCACCTACAAGTACTGCTTCTCCGACAACAGTGCAAACCTACAACTACTGCCGGCACCTACACCTGCAGGCCCCTACTACTGTTCTGCAACAACAACAAAGGCAGCACCTTCACTACCTGCTGCTCCCAACAACCGGTGCCACCTACAACTACTGCTGCACCTACAACTGCAGCCCCTACTGCTGTTGCAACAACAACAGCAGCACCTACAACTACTGCTGCTCCAACAACGGTGCCACCTACAACTACTACCTACTGCTGCACCTACAACTGCAGCCCCTACTTGCTGTTGCAAACAACAACGCAGCACCTACAACTACTGCTGTCTCCAACAACGGTGCCACCTACAACTACTTGCTGCACCTACAACAGCAGCAACTACTACTGTTGCCTCAACAACAGCAGCACCTACAAACTAACTAACAGCTACAACACCTACAACAGCAGGGCCCTACTACTGTTGCGACTACAACAGCAGCACATACAACTGTTGCAACAACAACAGCAGCACCTACAACTACTGCTGCTCCATCAACGGTGCAACCTCACTACTGCTGCACCTACAACAGCAGCACCTACTACAGTTGCAACAACAACAGCTGCACATACAACTAACTGCTGCTCCATCAACGTGCAACCTACAAACTACTGCTGCAACCTACAACTGGCAGCACCTACTACAGCTGCAACAACAACAGCAGCACCTACTGCTGCTGCTCCGACAACGGTGCCACCTACAACTACTACTGCACCTACGACAACTGCACCTACGACAGTAGCACCTACTACTATTGCAACAACAACAGCAGCAACCTACAACTACTTCTGCTGCTCCGACAACGTTGCAAACTACAAACTACTCTGCTGCACACCACACTGGAGCCCCTACTACTGTTGCAAACAACAAAAGCAGAACCTATAACTACTGCTGCACCTACAACTGCAGCCCCTACTACTGTTGCAACAACAACAGCAGCACCTACAACTACTGCTGCTCCTACGACAGCAGCACCTACTACTGTTGCAAACAACCACAGCAGCACCTACAAGTACTACTCTCCGACAACGGTGCAACCTACAACTACTGCTGCACCTACAACTGCTGCCCCTACTACTGTTTGCAACAACAGCAGCACCTACAACTACTGCTGCTCCAACAACGGTGCCACCTACAACTACTGCTGCACCTACAACTGCAGCACCTACTACTATTGCAACAACAACAGCAGCACCTACAACTACTACTTGCTGCTCCAACAACGGTGCCACCTACAACTACTGCTGCACCTACGACAGCTGCACCTACTACTGTATTGCAACAACAACAGCAGCAACTACAACACTGCTGCTCCAACAACGGTGCCACCTACAACTACTGATGCACCTACAACCAGCAGCAACTACTACTTTTGCAACAACCACAGCAGCACCTACAAGTACTGCTTCTCCGACAACAGTGCAACCTACCACTACTGCCGCACCTACAACCTGCAGCCCCTACTACTGTTTGCAACAAACAACAGCAGCAACTACAACTACTGCTGCTCCACAAGGTGCCACCTACAACTACTGCTGCACCTACGACAGCAGCAGCCTACTACTGTTGCAACAACAAACAGCAGCAACTACAACTACTGCTGCTCCAACAACGGTGCCACCTACAACTACTGCCGCACCTACAAACTGCAGCCCCTACTACTGTTGCAACATCAACAGCAGCACCTACAACTACTGCTGCTCCAACAACGGTGCCACCAGCAACTACTTGCTGCACCTACGACAGCAGCACCTACTACTGTTGCAACAACAACAGCAGCAACTACAACTACTTGCTGCTCCAACAACGGTGCCACCTACAACTACTGGTGCACCTACAACACAGCAACTACTACTGTTGCAACAACAACAGCAGCACCCTACCAACTACTGCTGCTCCGACAACGGTGCAACCTACAACTACTGCTGCACCTACGACAGCATCACCTACTACTGTTGCAAACAACATAGCAGCACCTACAACTACTGCTGCTCCAACAACGGTGCCACCTACAACTACTGCTGCACCTACGACAGCAGCACCTACTACTGTTGCAACAACAACAGCAGCACCTA